TAGGCCTATATATATAATGAATAAATGTAGTTGACCATACTAGCAACGTACAGTGCTCGATACACGTGATAATGCAGAGCGTAAATATTGAAAATGTCTAACTTGTTGAACTTGGTAAAATCACTCCACAGACTGTTTCATGTTAATGCAATCTTCAGGAGTGAGAGCATAGAAGGATTATATGAATGCTAAGGCAGGTGAAAATGCAAATGAGTTAATTGTTTTTAAGTATTTGTTGTTGTGCCTGCATTTAGACAATAGCTCAGTTGTTTAGTATTAACTGTTTGTCTGAATATATTATGTGAAGTTTTTCGGTTATGCATAGGTTGCAGCGTTTTGTTTTTGGGGAGTAAGCCTATGCTCTGTCGATAATAGACCATTTGAAATGTAGGGTGTGTTGCTGTCTTAATTTCCATACGTATTTGGAGAGTACGGTGCTGTTTCTGTGCTTGGGGGTGTTAAAAGTGTATTTGTGGTTTGTGTATCGGGTTTTTGAACGGTGTGTCAGTGCGCCCGATGTAGCATTTTGTGTCATTTGAGTGGACAGTGGTTTGTAGATGAGGGATGAGGTGAGGCAATTTCCAGAGAGTGGACATTCGTCTTTTTTCCTGCAATTGCAGAGTTTATCTGGCTGTTGTTGCTTAGCAACCACCTCATCCATCATCTATAAATAAAACAAAGGGACAAGAAAATCCATCAGGAATTGACTGAGATTTGACTGTCAACAGATGTAAATGACTGGTTTCAAAAACTCGGTGCGGTGTAAATCGCTAATAAGTTGAAATTCATGCTGTTTAAATGGAAATTCCTTCGTACACGGGATTCTTATGGATCTACAAAATAAGAAAAAACCAAAAAACATGGAAACAAAAAATAGAGAAAAAATCACTAATTGTCCTACAGCTGAATGTTTAAGCTTGGAAATATAATTTTCTTTACATTTCATAATGAGAGTTAGTGGAGGGCTACGTAATTCAGTGGCGTATCCAAAGTGTGGTGATATAGCACCACCGCCCCACCCTCCGACCCCATTACTTCTACCTGCCACCAGCGAAAAACTCACTAACCAAATGTGAAATCTTAGATGAGAGAATGAAAATGGCTATAAATGTATCTATATATTAAGGAAACACCAAAAACTTCTTCTCCGTTCCGTTCCCCTCGCACCATAGATTCGAAACCCTCGCCACCCAACCGACAAAAAATTGGATCCGCCAGCCACTAAAATATCGAAAAAAAAAATATCTCACCTCTGCTTGGTGTTCATTTTCTATTCCTCTTGTAGCCTATAAGATGAATAAATAAATGCACATTAGTCAAAAATATGTTTGTTACTAATTTATCTCCTTCAAAAACAACGTAAACAAAATACACTGTTTATAGATTTTATCAGTTTTATAGAAGAACATAATGTCCAATGGACAAATCCTCAGGATAGCTTAGTTGGTAGAACAACCAATCCATAAATTGAAGCGTTTGGTTTAGAAACTTTATGAGAACACTCAAAACAAATCATTCATGATGTAATGTAATAAATATGAAAAACACATCCTAAAGAATTCACATACATAAAATAAGGAAAATATGAAAAATATTGTTAGCCTACACTTATTTGTTTTGAGCTACGATTCAATAATATATTAATATATATTTGATCTGTTACAATACAAAAAAGGTAAGAAGAGCTACGTAATATCAATATTCGTTTAAAAAGTGTTTAATTTATTAAATATCTCACCCTCGCTTTAATAATTAATAATGACAATTAGTCGAACATATTTTTGATCAAAAATGTATAACAGCAACATTGTTAATAATATCGTTCTGTACATTATTCTATTAGTAGGCGTATTTCATTTTTGGTTCTCAACCTTTCCATATTGGAGTTTATTTTAGGTTGTGGAAATTGTGTTTTTTTAACTCAACATATTAAACTTAATTTATTAATGATGTTTTATTAGTCGTGATTACACTCATGATTTTGAAATTTTTCGTTAACTGGCACCCCTATTGTGTTTGACCACTGGGAGATACGTCTTACTTTAAGTTTATAAAAAATGTTTGCGTTCTTTACATATCTTCTAATTTTTCTGTCCAATTTTATAATTTATATAAAAGTTAGCACCATTCCCCCCTAAATTTTCATTTCCTTCTAAATCTTAATTTCCTTCTAAATCTTAATTCCCTCCAAAATCTTCATTCCCCTTACATATTCATTCCCCCTTAAATATTTGGACGTCTGGTTCTTTGTTGTCGGATCAATCACCGTCATATACATCTACAACAAGAGCTGTCTCTTATACACATCTAGATGTGTATAAGAGACAGCCCCTATTGTGTTTGACCACTGGGACGTACATTTACATTTAATTCTAAATATAACATGCTTGACTTTTGAAAAGGTTACAATACTTCAATGGCACTAATGGATTTCACAAATAAAATTGTTAATGCATTCCTAAACCGACATCTCTCAATTGGCATTTTTATGGATATTTTAAAGGCTTTTGACACCAGTGACCACAGCATTCTTTTAATATAAATTCCTTACTATGGAGTCCGTGGACCTGCGAATAAACTTTTCAAACCTTTCAAACCGTGCCCAATGTACCAAGTATTCTAAGTCCACATCCAATCTCAGTCTAATTACATGTGGGGTCTCACAAGGTTGTCTACTTGGACCTCGGTTGGGACTTGACATCGAGGAATAAAAATACTTTAGTGTGCATGACACAGGAAACGGACGTGACACAGAAAAAGAAACAAAATCATGTGCAGGAAAAATAAACTTGGTGCGAGCTGTTCGAGACATAGTAGCAAGGTGGTTTACTTTAAATTTCTTTGTGTAATTTATTCCAATCTTTGATTGATCTATAACAAAAAGTACCGTATTTGACGCTTTAGTGGGCACTCTAAAATTTACTGAACTATTCGTAGTATTGTGGTTGTGGGATTAAGATATCGTATACAATTTAAAATGCATATATAAAGGAAAATTATAATGGAACACGTTATACACATGGTAGAATCTCAGAAGCTTACAAACTCTATCTTCAATGTTTAAAAACCTAAATTGTCAAGTTCTCGCTGACCAACATGAGCCCGGGGCTCTTGTCATTGATGAAACGAACTAATTTATTGTGTAGTGTTTTTTATGCACCAGCATACCAGAAAGAGAATAAATAATCAAAATTTGATTGACTTAGTCCTACATAATTATTTCGACAGTATGTTATAATACCTAAGATATTTTTCTTTAGAAGAAAGCCCGATTTCAATGTATAAATTAAATTGTTATCATTTAGAAATTTACAAAGCTGTTGATACACAGTTCTTTCTGCCTATTATTTTAGAAATCACTGGTAACAAACTAACAGGCCGGTAATTCTTAATGTCTGTTTGTTTACTTTTATGAAACAAAGGCTTGACCCGGGCAATTTTAAAATCAAGTGGCACAAAATTATTAGAAATTGATAAATTTATAATATGCGTTATTGGTTTAGTAAGTTTGTCTGCACCTTCTCTAAGGAAGCGTGCTGGAATTTTGTCGAATCTTGTACTTTCAGTTGAATTTATACTTTTAAGTTGATTTTCAATAAGTTCTTCATCAACAGGCCTCAATGAAAACCTATCGGAAACTTCCCTTGGTAAATTTATCCGATTTTGTTCTGTATAACCTTTCATTAAAAAAACGGGAGTTTCGTAACTAGGTTATTGAAATGGTAAGCTATTGAACATGTATCGTGTCTTAAGTTGTTGTCATAGCTTCCTCGGATTCGATGAGTTCTCTTCAAGTTCGTGAAGTATTATTTTCGCATTAGCCTTTTTTATATTTCGTTGAATTTTGTTCCGTAATACCTGTCTCTTATACACATCTAGATGTGTATAAGAGACAGGAATAGGGAAGCTCAATGATGACGGAACTTCCGTTTTTAACGCTGGCATCATGGAAAGTAAATCGTTGTGTCTGAACACCATGACCAGTTATGCCGCGGATTAGTGTACGCCTGGCGTTAGTTAAGCTACTGTTATTCCGTGAGTCTGAACATAGCCTAAATCCATACATTATCAAATTACGTTTCTTAAACTAAAAAAGGATGCCAAGGCTACATGGATGACTATTAATTCCATGATCAACAAAACTAATAAGGAACATCCTAATACTTCCCTGACAACATTTCAACTGCATTCAACAAACATTTTGTTGAACTCTTCCTTGCTAAAAAAATTTTCGAGTAAATACATCATTTCAAGACTTTCTACCTATTCTCATTCCAAATGCATTATTCTTTATCTCAGATTCAAATCTTCCGATATTGACAATTTCCACACCATAGTAATTAAATTTGTGTCTGACCTTAGGCCTACATCCTATCCATTGTCACATTTTCAATCTTGCCCTTTCTAATGTGTTCCCAGACAGGCTGAAGGTAGCGCACGTTACTCCTATATTTAAATCCGGCAACAAATCTGATCTTTCTAACTATCACCCTATTTTAATTCTATCCATTTTCTCGAAAGCCATGGGAAAAATCATCTATGACCGTACATTTACATTTAATTCTAAATATAACATGCTTGACTTTTGAAAAGGTTACAATACTTCAATGGCACTAATGGATTTCACAAATAAAATTGTTAATGCATTCCTAAACCGACATCTCTCAATTGGCATTTTTATGGATATTTTAAAGGCTTTTGACACCAGTGACCACAGCATTCTTTTAATATAAATTCCTTACTATGGAGTCCGTGGACCTGCGAATAAACTTTTCAAACCTTTCAAACCGTGCCCAATGTACCAAGTATTCTAAGTCCACATCCAATCTCAGTCTAATTACATGTGGGGTCTCACAAGGTTGTCTACTTGGACCTCGGTTGGGACTTGACATCGAGGAATAAAAATACTTTAGTGTGCATGACACAGGAAACGGACGTGACACAGAAAAAGAAACAAAATCATGTGCAGGAAAAATAAACTTGGTGCGAGCTGTTCGAGACATAGTAGCAAGGTGGTTTACTTTAAATTTCTTTGTGTAATTTATTCCAATCTTTGATTGATCTATAACAAAAAGTACCGTATTTGACGCTTTAGTGGGCACTCTAAAATTTACTGAACTATTCGTAGTATTGTGGTTGTGGGATTAAGATATCGTATACAATTTAAAATGCATATATAAAGGAAAATTATAATGGAACACGTTATACACATGGTAGAATCTCAGAAGCTTACAAACTCTATCTTCAATGTTTAAAAACCTAAATTGTCAAGTTCTCGCTGACCAACATGAGCCCGGGGCTCTTGTCATTGATGAAACGAACTAATTTATTGTGTAGTGTTTTTTATGCACCAGCATACCAGAAAGAGAATAAATAATCAAAATTTGATTGACTTAGTCCTACATAATTATTTCGACAGTATGTTATAATACCTAAGATATTTTTCTTTAAAAGAAAGCCCGATTTCAATGTATAAATTAAATTGTTATCATTTAGAAATTTACAAAGCTGTTGATACACAGTTCTTTCTGCCTATTATTTTAGAAATCACTGGTAACAAACTAACAGGCCGGTAATTCTTAATGTCTGTTTGTTTACTTTTATGAAACAAAGGCTTGACCCGGGCAATTTTAAAATCAAGTGGCACAAAATTATTAGAAATTGATAAATTTATAATATGCGTTATTGGTTTAGTAAGTTTGTCTGCACCTTCTCTAAGGAAGCGTGCTGGAATTTTGTCGAATCTTGTACTTTCAGTTGAATTTATACTTTTAAGTTGATTTTCAATAAGTTCTTCATCAACAGGCCTCAATGAAAACCTATCGGAAACTTCCCTTGGTAAATTTATCCGATTTTGTTCTGTATAACCTTTCATTAAAAAAACGGGAGTTTCGTAACTAGGTTATTGAAATGGTAAGCTATTGAACATGTATCGTGTCTTAAGTTGTTGTCATAGCTTCCTCGGATTCGATGAGTTCTCTTCAAGTTCGTGAAGTATTATTTTCGCATTAGCCTTTTTTATATTTCGTTGAATTTTGTTCCGTAATACACAATACTGATTATAGAGTTCAGTCCTGTTCCGAGTTCTCTCTCCTGGATGTCATTTAGAATATAAGCAGTCATTCACCATGGACCTATTAATAGGTCCATGCATTCACTCTTCCGTTCTTTGTTTATTCTAACATTTATGTAAGGTGCGACATAATCAAGTATAGATAGAAATATATCCTTGAACGCTGACCACGCTTCGTTCACGTCGTTTGAATGCAATACGTTCGACCAGTCGGTGTCATGAAGTGCATCCTGTCTTATTCATCCCATCTATTCTCAAACTTAAACCTATTCAAACCCAAAGCTATCAATAATTATTATTCCCGATCAACTAGAATTCATATACCTATTCATAATACAAATTACGTTTTACACAATATTAGCTACTCAGGTCTCACTTTCATCATAGAGAAAATAGAACTGTTCTATTTTCTCTATGCTTTCATTAACAACATTTACCACCCACAATCATAAATTCAGTTTCTTTACAATAATTTACATCAAAGCTTAAAAATCACTTGATTTCAAAATATTAACAATATTTATATTATCGGTCATTCCTTGATGTGTGCTGATGATGATCATAGATATATTTAATTACTTATTTACCTATTTATTTATATATTTATGTTTTTATTTATTTATTTTAGTTATTATTTGTAATGATGTAGTCATCATTGTTTTATTTACTTCTATTATTTAATTTAATATAATTTTATTGATTTTAGTGTATTTTATTGGTGAATGTTTATTGTAACTTTTTTGTATATATTAATTCAGTATTAATTCAGTTATAAATATCCATATTTTTCAGGCTTGCCCAACACAAGATTTTTGTTCTCGGGATGAAGCCTTCTTTCATTACTAATTTTCACAAATTATAATAATTTTTTTCATATTGTATATATTGTAACTCATGCCAATGAAGGAAAATACATGTTAGCTTGACTTGAACAAAAATAAATAAATAAATAAAAGGTATTTTGAAAGAAACATTTTGATCAAAAAAGTGCATTATTAACAGAAATATATTTTTTAATAATATCGTTCTGTACATTATTCTATTAGTTAAGGCGTATTTCATACTTGGTTCCCAATCTTTTTTTCATATTGGAGTCTATTTTATGAGCTGAAAGTTGTTTTTAAAAAAACTTAACATAGGGCCTATTAAACCTAATTCGATAATGACGTTTTATTACAGTCGTGATAGGCACCCCTATTGTGTTTTGATCGCTGGAAGATGAGTCTTTAAGTTTTTAAGGCATTTTTGCATTCTTTAGATTTCTCCTATTTTTTCTGTCCAATGTTATAATTTATATAAAAGCTATCATAATTTCCCCTAAATCTTCATTCTTCCCTAAATCTCTATTTCCTTCTAAATATTCGTTTCCTCCTAAATATTGAATCTTGCTTACATAGTCTTTCCCCCTTAAATATTTGGACGTCTAGTTCCTTTTTGTCTGAGCAACCAATGTCAAAAGAGAAAGAGAGAGAGAGAGAGAGTGAGATATAAATTCATGATTGGTCTACAATTACATGTGTAGGGTTGGAAATATAATTTTAATTTTCTTTATATTCTATAATGACAATGAAGGAGGGCTATGTAATACCAACCAAGTGTGAAGTCTTAGACAAGAGAATGAAAATGAAAATAAATTTGAAGCTTATCCAGAGATAATTAAGAAAACATGACAAACATTATTTTCGGTTCTACCCTCTCGCACAATATATTCGACACTCTCGCCACCCGCCCGATAACAAATTGTGGATCTACCAGACTCACCCCTGCTTGGTCTTTATTTTCTCTTGTTGCCTTTAAGATGAAAACAAATGCATAATAGTAAAACACAGGTTTCTTACTGATTTAAGTCATTTAGAAACAACGTAATAGCAAAATGCAGAATTTTATAAGTTTTATAGAGATTTTGATTGAAATGTTTATAATCAACGTAATATACGTTTTAATTTGTATATGCTGATGCTATATATATATATATATATATACTATACCTTTCTGTAGACCATTAAGTGTCCCGAGAAGTCGTACAGATCCATAGTTTTTCGTTATTAATTTCCACGGATAAATGTTAGAGAAAAAAGTAAATAAATGAAACTGACAGATTTTTTTTTTCGTTTGCTCCTTTATTGTTTTTCAAAACACATTTTCTCACACGCGGCGAGCAGGTCGGCGTTAACCGAGTGCGGAGGGATCACCCGATCGAACCTTGCGTTCGTCGATCGTTTTCGTCGCTGCTGCTGTCTTCCTTGCTGCTGTCTTCCGTGTCCGGAAGCATGTTCTTGAGAGCTTGGTAATCGCTCTTCGCTTTGTCCCACTGCTGCCTGAGGAACGCTCTTTCCCTCCTGACGTTTTCGTCGTTCTTCAGATATTGACAGTCGTTCCTTATTCTCTCGATATGTTGCATGATAAAATCTCGTTCTTTATTTACCCTCTCGAGCGCTTTGTTCGCGGTGTCTACCTCGACCCCGTAACTTGCCCCAGACCGACATAATCGGGCGCCGTGGGCGGCGGGTACGCGTAGCTTTCAGCCACATCCGCTCGTGCTCGCAGACGGTCTATCTCGTTTAGCATCGCACATTAGGTCTTGTGCATCTCGTCCAACTCCTCTTGAAGCTTCTCAGCTAATTCTTTCGACTTTTCCATGCCTCCGTTCGAACATTTAATGCAAACACGAAGCCGCACGCATTACATTTATGGTCGCGAAGGAGGTACCATGACGTCAAGCGTAGAACCGATATCCCATGACATCGAGTGACGTCAAGACTTGAAATGATGAGCTTCGAAGTCGGTCTTCATGAACAGATTGATTTGCGGACTCCTGTTCCTGCCGCGGTAGTTGCTGACGAATTCGCCTATCGCCTACACCAGGCACGGCATGACGCGTCCGCTCCTCGTCCGACACACATAGTTGGCAACCTTCATGCGTTCGTGCAGCTGGCGTCGATCGTCACAGAACAGCAACGTCGGGTATGGATGATTCAGCACGGTCGGTCCGTCGCACTTGCTCATGTCAACGACCAGGTAGACCTTGGTGCCGGTGCGCGTCTCCCGACTGGTTTCGTGTGCGCTGGAGAGAGAGTCATGATCATCCTGCCGCAGTGTGAGGTAGTTATGCATGGAAAGGCGTCGCTCGAGTACGCGTCCTTGCCACTGTACGAAAGTTGGTATCCGATGGGTTGGAAGTCGCGCGGGGACTGCATCTGCGCGAGTACCGACCGAAACTGTCGAAGCCGCGACATCTGCACACAGTTTTTACATACTCAGAGTATGGTGCGTCGAAGTCGAAATCTTCGTTTATCTCCAGCGTCGCCACCTCGTTAATCATGCTCTGCAGCTGGGCCAACGGCACCGTCCTCTTGCGGAGGTTCGGATTGAAGCAGGGTTCGAGCAGTTCGTAAGGTTTCGTGGGTTGCGGCATGGCCGTCGACATCTTATCTTGCACAGGAAGAGCATTTCCCCGCAGTTGAACTCAAGTCGTCTGTCGAAAAATTTGTGGAAGGTCGTCACGTCCTTGACGCTGTCGTTTGGTTTCTGCGTGCGGGTCGAGACGGGAAACATAGCGCTCCTTCCGCCTTCGAGGTTGGGCACGCGCGTGATGCCTACCGAAAGGTCCACGTTCAGTCGGCGGCCACCGCGACGTTCGACTGCATTCACCCTCGTCTTCGGTAACATCCCCACGTTCCATCGTCTGGTGTAAGGTCTGAATCAAGCAGACATCGTCCGCGACACGTCTTAACTTGGGGGAGGGGGGAGGAGGAAAGTTGGGGAAAACATAAATGTGTTATTTATGTACCTCAAAAAGGCCGAGGCACGAAAGTCCTCGAAACAGCAGGAAGATGTCGTTTCTGGTGAATCACCTGAAGGCAAGGAACGACCTCGCGTACGTCGGCAAAGTACGAATCTGCTGTGCTTCAAAGGCTCCGAACAGATCGACGTTCGCGTCGCCGAAAACGAAGCGACAAAGGTGTGGATATTGGCGCCGTTCGACAGTCGGAAGCCGAACAGGGTCGTTGATCTCTCCGACGTGGTCAATCGAAGACTGGTGCGTGCTCTGATCAAGTTCATGAACGAGGACAGGGATCGAGACGAGCGTGTCGCCTGCTTGGAAATGGCTGAGCGAATAGGTTGCAAGGATGCGATCTGCGTGTTCGTTTTGGACATGTATGAACTGTCCGCGAACGATATCTCCAGAGCGAGGAGAACGCCTGTCTGAATTTAATAATAATAATAATAAAGATTTTTAAAGCGCAAACATCACCACCAAAAATAGGTGCTCAAGGCGCAGTGTCAAAACAACAGGAAGAGAACAAACAGATCACAAAGAGCAAAGTGAAAACATGTTAATTTTTATTTTTATTTTTTTATGCTCCCCGACCCTGTTGAACGCCGTCGATTCGGCCGTGTGCAGAACATTCGGCAAGCTGATGCTCCACAAACAGGATCTTCGATGGCAGGAGCTGGTCACGTGGCCTGATACGTTTAGACTCGACGATCCGGTCGAAGCTTCGAAGATCAAGAACATCTACGCCACCGGAGAACACCTGCTGCATCTGGTACGAAAGTGGCTGACTGCCAATCCCGGTGAGATTCGACAAAAGTTGCTCAACGATCAGGACGTGCTGCTGCGCGTGCACCGCAAGCTCTTTCAGCTGTCTTCGATCAACCAGCTCTTCAAGGACACGACCGAGTACCCCAAGTCGATCTTTCGACACCACTCGAAGAACGAGGACGACGCGCTCGGCGTCCATCGCAGCCTTCCGCAGACGGCGACCTTCAGCACGAATCCGCCGTGCTGTCCGCCGACACATTCCGTTCGTCCGTTCGTACACATCCAGAGTTCTTCCATGGTCGCTCCGTTCTACCGAGTGGCGGTCGCATGAAACCTCGCGTACCTGGTCTGTCTGGACAGACACCTCGAAGACGGGTGCACAATGTGCCAGCTCCAATACAATCCGATTAACGGCACGTTCGTCAGATTGTCGGATTCGATGGTGCCGTGAACGAACGAATATGTGTCCCTGTGCTGGATCGACGATTACGTCCTCCTGATGAGCGGTGGCGGCCCAAAGGAACTGAAAACGTACGATCTGTCGAACGAGTGACACAGCGGCGGCGGCTGGAAAGTGGACACGAACTTCTAGGACGTCGGTGTCGGTGTCAGTGTCGCTCATGCCGCCTGTCGGCACCATTCCGACCTGTGTCTGTGGTACGTCGACGAAAACGGAGATCACCTGCTGATCGTCATGAGACGGGCGAGCAGAGGCATAACCGGTAGGAGGACGCACGGCGAATGGAAAGTGGTCCTCAGACATCCGATCGCCGTTCCGGAGGAGCACAGGCAGAAGAACGGCGAGCGTCTGACCTTGCATTCCTTTCCGAAAAACAATGATCGCTTTATTCATGGCGTACAAAAACTTAAGAAGTACCTAATATCCAGTGGAAAAATCCACAGGATATCTTTTTGGTAGAGCAGCCGAGCCGCAAATTGAAGCGTTTGTTTTTTCGACACTTTATAAGAACACTCAAAGCATTCATGATGTATATGCAATATATAAGAAAAACAAATTCTAGTTCTACAATAAGAAAAATATCAATAATTGTTAGCCTACATTTATTTGTTTTAAGCTACGATTCAATAATTATTATATTAACATATATTTGATCTTCTACAATACAAAAAAGAGCTACGTAATATTAATATTCATTTTAAACAGTTTGAAGTTACTAAATATCTCACCTTCGCTTGGGTTTCAGTCTTCGTTCTTTCTGTTTTCTTTAAAAAGAATCAGTAAATGACAATTATTCAAAAATATGTTTTTGATCTCATTCAGAAACAAAGTAAAATACATTTTACTCCGGGTTACCAACTTCTTTTTCATATTGGAGTCTATTTTCGGTCGCTGAAAATGTTGCTTAAACGTCTAGTAGAGGATGATGCTGGCTTGAGAGTCAACCTCCTCGGCTCTACCAAGGATGGAGTCTGGTGTGCAAAGTTATAGGTGCAGCAGATTAATCTCAAGCTTTACAATTGCTTTTCATTGTGTCTAAGAAATTGAACTTTTAAGTATCATATTATGTAGTGAAAAACAATATTACTACCACCCCAAATAAAAAGTATAGAAGCAAAAACTACCCCTTATGGGATAGTTAATCATGCTATCATTCTATTATTCACAGAGTATTGTGTAATTCAGTATAATATTTATGTTATATTCCATACCTTTGAAGATGAAGTTCTTTTCCAAAGGATAATACGCCTACACATGAATGATGCCACGATGCCAATGGCAATACCAATGGCAATACCAATACCAACTCCAAAAAGAAGATCCTTGCTTGAATGTTTGAATAAATCTAATGGAAAAAACATAGGCCTAGGTCTACAAACATATACGGTAAAAACAGATATGCAAAATTTCGTAACAAATAGAAAGGTCTGAAATGAAAATTAATTATACATAAAATGGCATAAACGCTATTTAACAATGTAGAGACTGTGAATGGAAAATGAAATTTTATCTTTTGTTAATATAAAATTGCAAAATGAAGAAGGCCTAGCTGCACACGAGACTATATCTTTAAAAAATACATAAGAAAGTCAACCCGCTAAACACAAATTCCGATACCATTCTCAATTTCTTATTTACGTCATGATCATTTCTTTGAATAAATTCATTTGGAATTATAGTAAAATGATTAACTTGATTCATTTTTTCATACATTTTTATTAAACAATCAACTTGTCATGATTAAGTATCGAAAGGTCGTAGATATCTCTAAAAAAAACCAACTCTATAAAAAACAAACTCCACATATATTATCTAAATAAACATATATTACCAATAAATCTTAAATGTAAATTCTAGCTTTATATGTTTTTGTACAGTAATTAAAGAAAACATATTTTTAACTTAAGAATCATGAACTGTATAATTTGTACTTTCTTTCATTAATCCTTTTTATTGTTCATCTGTTTTCTGTTACTTTGTTTTACTATTAGAATACTGTAGAGAGTATTGGGACCCTATTGGGAATAAGTGGTATTCTTCACTTCATGGGTTATCCCAGGTTTCATCTTCATTCAATTTTTATCTCTTTATTAACTACTTTTACATGGTGCTTTTTAAATTTTTATTGTTTTGTGGTTGCTTTTAAATTATTTTCATATAGGCCTATTTTATTTTTATGTATTTTAAAGTGGAACCAAATAAATTCAAATCAAAAAAATCAAATGCTGATTATGACTACAGTATGTTTCAATACAACTTACACTCTGATTTTTTCGTATCTTCTGACTGTATTTGAGTTGTATCTGTTGTTGATTGTTGTGTAGTTGACACGACTGTCGTTGACTCTACCACTATGAAATATAAAGAGAGGGACATTAATAGCAATTCCAATATGTATGTCCATAAATAAGTAACATAATTCTAAATTGACTCGAGCAAGATGCACAAATAAGCAATACATTAAATAATGTTGTATGACTTATATTTATTGTGTTTTAAAGATGTACCCCGGTATCATATTAATATTATCCCAATTGTTCTTGTCGAAACAACATTTTGAATAATTTATAAAATATTTTTATTTGTAAATGACATAACCATATTGGAATGCTCTGGTAAAGGAAATGCAACATAACAAAACATTCTCACTGTTAAACACTTCACTACGCATCAACATAAAAATCATATTTCTGTGGTCTTTGTATACACATTCAAAACCCTGTATATTATTAACTAGTACCCATGACGCCACCAGCTTTCTGTCAATCAATTTATCTACAGACTTAATCAAAACAATAATATTGTGTAGTATTTAACCTTGCTGTAAATAGTTTGAAACGCTTTAGAAAATACAAATTGCATCAACATGGACGTTAAATTACCCATTTATCAATATCAAAAAATGTAGAATTATCACTGGTTGCATTATGCAGACAAATAATACACTACATACTTGCAAGATAAAATCAGAATAGTCACTGCACGGAAATGCGTGTCAATGAAAAACAACCAAATTTTCCGGAAAGTTTTCGAAAATTTGAATTCTAATCTTAGCCTTCCAAAAATCTATAACCTCTTTATATAAAAATATACACAGCCTTAATATTATTTGTATTTATTTCAACTATATGGTAGTATGTAGGACATCAACTGCATAAAAAGACAACAAAAGACCGTAGACTAGTTACTTTAGATATAAACCTATTAAATATAGAGGGTGGGTAGTGAATGAATTTGCAAAAAACAGAAAAGAAATATGTAAATGATAAACAATATAACCATTGTATAGATTTGTTAATTTGATATTTTTTTACATGATTCCCTAGAAAATATACTATTTTACTTTATCATATTGATGTATTATAGTTTTAATATAATAATTTTAATAAGGAATAACTACTTCATGAATTAGAAGAAAACCTCAAAGCTGTACTATAAGTTAGAGTAAGTAGACTATGAGTAATGTACACTTGATATGGCCATAAATTAATGAATGATGAATAAATGATACACCCAGTCATTGTTGCTGTTAGAAGGGTGCATAATTAATTAGGTGTATAGAAGTATAGGCCTACTATTTAAACAGTTTAAAGCTTCCGAGCATGTGGTGTAATACAACTTTTATACATGTGGGAAACTTTCATTAATTCAATCGACAAATCAAATACATCGTATCAAAGCCTTTGGGTACTTTCCTTAATTAAACATTCTGCAGCAAGTTTCTGGGCTACAAAAAAGTTCAATTAATCACAAGCAGAAAATAATTTACTGCAGTGAGATGCAGTAGCTGCTGCGAGTTTAGCACCCTCTATGCATATCTTGACCAATCAGAGGCCAGAGAACTCGCTACAGTAAATTTCCAATTGAACTGCAGTTCAAGAACCGAATACTGAGCGATAGCGCGCTCCATGTCTAAACGCGCGTCTGTAAAGTTTCTTTGAAACTTACATTTGAGCATTAAGAAAGAATAAAATCGTCCACATTTTTTGGAATTCTGTATTTAGGAACAGTTCGGAGGCAGGCAGTCTTTATGGAGAGACGCTCTAGTTATCTTTATGTTAAGTGTATCTGATTGGCTTACATTAAACCACCAAGCTAGCGTAATGTAACCACATCTAATTTAACAAAAACAATAAGATACTTAAAAACGGAGAAAACAGACACAATTGTATTAAAAATAAAATCTGGAGAGTGCCATTTCCGGCCATCTAGAGGTGCCATAATCATTACTTTCTTACCTCAGCCCCAACCGTGGTGGTCGGACACTCAATCCATTTCCGAGCTCTTACAGAAGAATAATTTTACTCATGGGGGGAAAAGTGAAGGTTTTGTTGGAAAATATCCATATCAAGGATACCGCTCATGATAAATAATTCATTGTGAATGTGGAATTTACCAAACTTCGTCAAATGTGTTTATTGTTGTTTATGTTCATGTTGATGTTCCATGTGTCGGTGTTACCGTAATATGTTGATATTTTTTACTTAAGTTTGTTAATATTATTTTATTTTTCACATTAACAAAGTATATGGTCTGATACATTTTAATAATCACTTAATTGACTGCTATACATTTATTTATATATACAGTAGGTCTTTATTTTAATCGTTTACTGCTTATAGTATTTAATTTACTTTATTTATGTGTTACTTTATTATTGAATTACATATATTGTGTAAATTAAATTCTACTATTGTGTTTATTTTGTATACTATTATATTTGCTTTGTAAATTGTTTATAATGATTATCACCTTGCTTACTACTGTTTATTCTATGTTGTAAGCTGAATTTAAACAAAATAAAAAATAAATAAATCTGAAAATCAACACGCTAAACACAAATTCTGATACCATTCTCAATTTCTTATTTACGTCATGATCAATTCTTTGAACAAATTCATTTGGAATTATAGTAAAATGATTAACTTGATTCACTTTTCATACATTGTTATCTTTATGTTTTGGAGTTTGAAAAAAAAAACACTCAACTTAATCGTGTAATGATTAAGTATCGAAAGGTTGTAGATATCTCTAAAAAACAAACTCTACAAAAAAACAAACTTTACATATATTATCTACATAAACATACATTACCATTAGTTGACACGACTGTCGTTGATTTATCTGTTGTTGATTGTTGTGTAGTTGGCACGACTGTCGTTGACTCTACCACTGTGAAATATAAAGAGAGGAACATTAATAGCAATTCCAATAAGTATGTCCATAAATAAGTAACATAATTCTTAATTTACTCGAGCAAAATGCAAAATAAGCAATACATTAAATAATGTTGTATGACTTATATTTATTGCGTTTTAAAGATGTACCCCGGTATCATATTAAATATTATCTCAATTGTTCTTGTAAAAAAATATTGATTAGATATCGTTGTATTTTGTATAATTTATAAAATAACTTTGAACTTTCTGGTTAGTATTTAACCTTGCTGTAAATAGTTTGAAACGCATTGGAAAATACAAATTGCATCAACATAGAAGTTAAATTAACCATTATTAATATAAAAAAATGTAGAATTACCACTGGTTGCATTTTACAGACAAATAATACGTTACATATTTGCAAGATAAAATCAAAATAGTCACTGCACGGAAATGTGTGTCAATGAAAAACAACCAACTTTTCCCCCACGTTTTCGAAAATTGGAATTTTAATCTTAGCCTTCCATAAATCTATAACCTCTTTATACGAAAATATACACAGCATTAATATTCTTTGTATTTATTTGAACTATATATGGTATATATGTAGGACATCAACTGCATAAAAAAAAACGACCTTAGAACAGTTATTTTAAATATCTATTAAATATAGAGGGTGGGTAGTGAATAAACTTGCAACAAACACAAAAGAAGTATGTATGATAAAGAATATAACCATTTCATATATTTGTTAATTTTTTTACATGATTCCCTAGAAATTATACTATTTTACTTTATCTATCATATTGATGTATTATAGTTTTAATATAATAATTTTAATAAGGAATAACTATATACACTTTAAGAATAAGAAGAAAACCTCAAAGCTGCACTATAAGTGAGAGTAAGCAGACTATGAGTAATGTACACTTGATATGGCCATAGATTAATGAATGAAGAAGAAGAAGAATTAATGAATGATAAATTAATGATACACCCAGTCATTGTTGCTGTTAGAAGGGTGTATAATTAATTAGGTGTATAGAAGTATAGGCCTACTATTTAAACCGTTTAAAGCTTCAGAGTATGCTGTGTAATACAACTTTTATACATGTGGGAAACTTTCAATAATTCAATCGACAAATCAAATACATCGTATTAAAGCTTTTGGGTACTTTCCTATTCATTAAACTTTCTGCAGCAAGTTTCTGAGCTGCAAAAAATTTCAACCAATCACAAACAGAAAATAATTTACTGCAGTGAGATTCAGTAGCCGCTGCGAGTTTAGCACCCTCTATGCATATCTTGACCAACCAGAGGCCAGATAACTCACTGCAGTCAATTGAACTGCAGTTCAAGAACCGAATACTGAGCGATAGCCCGCTCCATGTCTAAATGCGCGTCTGTAAAGTTTCTTTGAAAGTTACAATCGAGCATTAAGAAAGAATGGAATCGTCCACCTTTTGTGAATTCTGTATTTAGGCACAGGGTGGAGACAGGCAGTCTTTATGGAGAGACGCCCTAGTTCTCTTTATGTTAACCATGAAGATGTAAGTGTAATCGATTTGCATTCATTAAACCATCAAATTAGCGTAATATAACCACATTAAAATTCCATCTAATTTAAATAAAACAATAAGATACTTAATATTAGATAAAATTTTCTGAAGGTTAACTACATAATTTATTATAATTCATGATAGTTAATATATTTTAGTAAAAGTTTAGCATCCTCTGCATTATCGACATCTCGATACATTTTTGTATCGCCTGTAAACATCATCGGATTACTAAGCACATATCAGGCAGATCAGTGACGAAAATTATAAAGAGAATCAGCCCAAGGACCGATCCCTGAGGAATGCCACTTTGCACCTGGACGCTAGAAGAAAATACCCCATTAACCCTGACACGCCGAGAACGATTGGACAGGTATTCTCTGATCCAACCATGAAAACATCTCCTTATGCCGTATGCATGTCACTAAGTAAAAGCCTTTCATGAGGAATGCTATCGAACGCTTTTCTGTAGTGCAGATAAATGCAGTCTACATTGTGTTTATTATCCAATTGCTGGGTCCAATATTCTAAAACTTTGAGCAACTGTGTTGTGCAAGAACGTTCATTTCGAAAACCATGTTGTTCATTACACAAAAGCCCATGAATTTTCATGTGTAACAAAAAGTATCACGAATAAATTTTTCCAAAATCTAATATAAAATTGATGTTAGTGAAACAGCGCGATAGTTACTAACATCCGATTGTTTACCCTTTTTGAATAACGGAATAACAGTTGCTTCTTTCCATAACTCTGGAACAGACTGATCATCAAATAGCCTCTGGAAAACTAACGTAAGAGGTGCTGCAATAACACCAGCACTTTCTTTAGGTATACTGTACGTATATCATCTGGACCTGCTGATTTTATAATATCCAGTTTAGACAGATACTCATACACTTTGGATTCTCAGTGGTTCAACATGTTTGGCTCATTTGGTATAGAATTTAACCTCTCATCCACAAATACAGAGCTGAAAAAATCACTAAGTAATTCCTAATTTTCGCCATCACAACAAGCGTACCATCTTGCTTTGCCAATGAAGGAACCTCGCTAGTAGCCTTTGCCTGTTTATATAGTTCCAAAAACTTTTAGAATTTGACTTTATATCTTCCGCTAATTTATTCTCCAAGACAGACTTTGCCAATCTTATCTCACTAGTCACACGATTCCGTATATCTGAAAAATGAGTATAATACCGTTCTTCAATATTCTGAGCATTTTCGCATCAGGCTTTATTGGCCTGTCCACGATTTACGCCCTCTGATTGATTGGTGCATTTTGTGTCTACTGCCCCCAACGGGGGTGTAGACACTGTCACGATCATAGAGCTATTAAACAACTAGAGTGCTGACAAGGTGGCGAAGCAATGCAGAGTTGTGTATGTGTACTATCCAAGATGGCCGCCGTAGGGAAGCGCCACCTTCAGGCTTATTATACATATTATTACCATAAATAAGCCCTCTGACTGACTATTATTTCATTAATGATAATTAGTATTGATAATAACAAATTATTAAACTATCATAGCCAAAAAAGAGGCCAAGTTACGGAAGCCTGTTAGTGCCACCAGTGAATTAAAATTTCAGATCCGTTAACTGATAATTAAGTGGCGGCCGCCAGATAATTATGTGACGGCCGCCTGTTTATATCATTGTGATATTGTGTTATAGCAGGATTAAAAATTAAAGGGCATTAAATACCGGTAGTGATTAAAAGCATACTAGTAGCTGGTCACCAGCTGTACCTTATAATGGCAGTCATATAGCACCCATTTCAAAAAATGTTAGCAATCACAGGGTCAAGTATTAAATAGCGATTAAAAGGCATTAAATGTGTTAAATAATGTTTAAAAGCATGGTAGTTGGTCACTATCTAGCTTATAATATAAATTATATTATAGCACCAATTTCACAAAATATAGCAATCACTGAGTTTAGCATTAGATAGCGATTAAAAGCATGTTAGTAGCTGCCACAATGCTTTAATTACATCTTTGACTATACAACGTATGCGATGATAGGCGTTAGGGTTAAGCACGCCAGCTGTTTACCATTGAATAGGCGTTTGCGACGATATGCGTTAGGGTTAAGCACGTCAGGGGTTTGCAACAACAGGCGTTATGGTTAAGCACGTCACTTGTTTACCATTGAATAGGCGTGTGCGGAAGATAGGCGTTAGGATTAAGCACGTCACGCGTTTGCGCCGATTATTTTGTGGATTAAGTTTGGAGCACGTCAGCAGTTTACCATTTAATAGACGTTTGCGACGATAACAAAATAGGAAAAATAACATATTCAATTGCAAATGACAGGTGAAAATGCCTATTTATTAGCGTACACAGTTCCTACTGGCGACTTCTGAAATTCTTATTAACCCTAATTCCTATTCATTAATGCAATGGCCGGCGCGAACACTTATTTATAGCGGACATGGTAAAATGGCTGACATGCTTATCCCTAAAGCCTATCGTCGCAAACGCCTGATGACGTGCTTAAACCTAACGCCTATCGTCGCAAACGCCTATTTTTGATGACATTCTTTTAATCGCTATTTAATGCTTCCTAGTGATGTTATATTTTGTGAAATGGGTGCTATATGACTGCTCTTATAAGCTATAGCTATTCTATAACAGCTACGAACATGCTTTTAATCGCCTACTACGATGTTCATAAATGCTACCGTATTTAATGCTAGGTCCAATCATGCGCTTTAATGACCCGTTCTACATCGAGATAATGTTATACCGCAACCTGGGTAACCATAAATAAGTGGCAGCCGCCACTTAATTATCTGGCGGCCGCCAGATAACTAAGTGGCGGCCGCCAGATAACTAAGTGGCGGCCGCCAGATAACTAAGTGGCGGCCGCCAGATAACTAAGTGGCGGCCGCCAGATAACTAAGTGGCGGCCGCCACATAATTAAGTGGCGGCCGCCAGATAATTAGTTATAAATTATAATTCTATGGTCATGATGTAGCAATTAAAGATGGCGGAAAAGGGTAAATCCGGTTTAGGCATGATGAGTATAATATAATAAGAATACTAGAGCGCTAACTGCAATGTATTCGATGTTTGAAATACGCAGAGCTGTGTTTGTGTACCATCTAAGATGTTACAGATGTGTACCATCTAAGATAGATACAGCCAATCAAATTTCGCCTAATGCTGCGTTCATTAGAACTTGTGAAAACTGATCTCATAACTTGTAACATGCGAGTACACAATAAGAGTGCATTCATTTGACGAACGCTAAATGGCTGCTGTCACTTGTGCAATGTGTTCGGAAATAAAACATACAAAAAACCTTTTTTTTTAAATCTGAAATAATATTACTTAAACAAATTTCAACAAATATGTGGGGTTGCAAATAAAACATACAAACAACACCCCTTTTTTATCTGAAGTAATATTGTTTAATATACAAACTGCAATAAACACATATGCTCGTTATGCATAGTTTATATTATATCTGCCATTTTCCACACTACTTGTGAAATCGAGGAAGAAAATTCTAGTTCATTAACGAGATATACGCGTTTCACAAGTTGTGAACTGGGAAACACCGACTTCACAAGTTCTAATGAACGCAGAATTAGTACCATCATCAAAACATGAGGGAAGGAAAAATAGGGTATAAAACTTTAATTAGAGCATTGCTTTGGCCTGTTTTTTTTAAATTTGCGTAAAATATAACTGGTTCTGTTTTGAGTTTTCCGTTTTCGTATCCAGGTCTCCGTTTTCAAATATAAAGAACAGCACCAATACCACCATTCTTTTATATAAATCATCCTATCTACCAATTATTTACTAATAAAATAAAAGATACATAAATTCGACCGTTAATTTGACAGAAAATTTACAAAAGAAACAATTCAAATCTTCCAAACATTTTTTTCATTCATTTATTTTAAAATAAAAAAGGCAATACAAAATCAAGCAAGACTACAATAGCTAGGTGCCAGCAGCTTAAAAAGCAAAAAATATAAAAATAACAATAAAAAATAAAAATAAATTATAATAAACTCCGGAAAGTCAGCTGCCGGCTTCTCTTCCGAGATTATGCTCAACTTCTCAACACATATAAATCCTTCAAAGGAAACGTGTCATGCGCAGATACCAATACACGAAATTGTTCAAGCGGAACTCTCAGCAAAATTAGATTTATAAATGTGGGGTAGCAGGCGCGTTGGTCCGGCCAGATGCGACGATCCCCACCACCTCACCCCAGATTGAATCCATTTAAAAAAATAAACTATGTCCTGATACAGGGCATAGTTGCTGGTATTACACAAGAAACATTACATTTACAGAGATATGTCTACCAACCTAATAAGGGGCCCAGACAAGGTTTGACAAATTGCGCGCAAAAAAATGTCTTTATTGCAGTTATGCAGTCTGTCTTAATCATTGTGAGTGTGATTATTATGGCCTGTAATTAAATACTGACAATAATAACGAGATGCTTCGTTAAATAAATACACAAGTAGGCCTACAAGATTTATGCAATACAATATTAAAAGCAATGACTAGGTTTATGTACTCCAGTTGCCGGATATAATATATGTCCCTGGTTCTTAATTAATTTGTTTGAAGGGCCAGGTTATAGAGTTGATCTGACGGATCAAATATAATCTCAGTCTAGCTGATGAAAGTAATCATTATACATCTGGGTGAAACTCTTTTCACTAAGTTAAGTCTATTTTCAATTTGAAATTATAGGGCCTTCTTCAAATCAGTCATGTCGACCCAATTGGGTCGCGGGAAATTTCCGTATGGACCTGTCATCAGTTTTACAGTTGTCAGTCAAAATGCAAACAGTTTTCCGCAAGTACACAGTACGCATGTAGGACTAGCGAAATGTAGTTTTATGAGCACTGTCTGTTGATACACCAAATTTTTATTCCATTTAAAGTAAAAAAAATGATATTAACGAATCATAGTAAACAGAACAAAGTACAGGGATGGAATTTGGTGGCACAAAAGCTGAGGGTGATGAATACTGTATGACTTGAAAAGAAGGCTACGCAGGACAATATTATCGAAATGTATTATTATAAGCACTGTTCTTTGGTTCACTATTAAATCCCAATACGCCCTAGTGCCTAGATATTGTTAACATTTGGTGCTACAAAAAATAAAATTTGAATACCAGTAGAAGTTGCAAAATAACCTAAATTTAGCTGTGTTTAACAAAGGGCTCCTTTTACCATGAGTCTCAAATCATACATGAGGACTCTGTAATCCTTAAACTGTTAACATGTCTATAATAAAGATTTTACTTCCTCTGGGCTGCTATTTTAAATTTAGAAGAGCTAAAAGTATACCAATCTTGGGGGTTCTTTTATAGTTCAGTTTACAGGGTTTAATTTTAAATCTGAGTGGGGCAACCCCTAAATCATAACGCGCTTATGGCTTGTTTGAAGCACACAGTGAAGATAATATCCAGTGATCACATTTTGGTATTATTTATTCTATTTACGGTATACATTATATCCTCTTTCTCATTTTCAAACCACCCTTTGCACATTACCCAGGGACTGCATTTTTCTTTTTAACATTATTGAAAATGTATTTATCGAAATTTATATTATGTTTTAAATATATACGGTATATTGTTTAATTATTTTTTTTACTTCACGAGCCAAATTAAATTGTCTCGCGGGCAAAATTTGGCCTGCAAGGAATATATGTATTATATGCAATGAAATAAAATATGTTTGGATTGCATTATCAGTATTACATTATCTTTTACAACCATTATTAAAATGAATCTTTTGTCATGCGCTAGATGAGCATTCAGAATTTTATCAGTTGCCTAAAATTATGCTATTTGTAGGAGGTCTTTACTGAATTATTTCTTAGCCGTTTTAATTATTCAGTAAATTATTACTTAATTAAAGGTGCAAATAACGTACCAGATGATGAAATTATTATTAAAACAGCCGTTTTGATACACATTAAATATTTAATTGTTTAGTTGATTTTGATTTATTTCACTAAGTCATAATTATTCATATTGGTATACATGTATGATTACAATAGAACATTTAAAGTATGGGGGAATCCTTCTGAAACAAAAGGGCTTAAAGGGTAATTTTCAGCGTCCCATTAGTTCCTATAAATGGTGATGTGCGTTTATGATCATTTCTTAATCATGTTTTGTTTTTCCTTTGTAATTACTTTATGGAAAGCAATAAATATTGCCTGCATTTACTTACTTACTTCTGTCAAAAACAATAAATGAAAATATGAAAATGAGATGTAAAAATTCACATTGGAAGCAAATCTTTTAACATGTAACGCTTTTAAATAAGATAATTAATTCTAGTCAAATGAAATGTTTTACAGGAAATAATCTAATCTTCTAGTCATGTAAAGGTACATCTATCCCACGCCGGACACCATCCCGGTATTTCTGAGTCTGGGTTTCGGGGCCGGAAGATTATTATTTACGTGGTGAATGAAATCATGATAAATAGACATAGGCCTAAGTTATTGATACTTAACTACAACAAAAAAATGAAATTATTTCAAATTTGTTCTATATAAAAACATCTTTTCCTTACACACCACAAACCTCTTTTTCCAAACATGACAAATTTCGACAAGCGACCATGTTTTCAATAAGCCCAGCAACATCAAAGGGACCACCGCTATCGTCTCCTATAGAAAAATGGAACGCGACACAAATCCAGGGTACAGCAAACTATAATAAGGACAGCTTATGGTGGGTACTAGGCCTACTATATTTAGACGAGGTTAACTGGTAAGTATCAATCTTCAGAAATAGGCAGCTTATGGTTCCCACAAAGAAATCTACACAGGTTTATTCTATCAGGCATGTTTAGTTTGATTAAATATCTTTCGAAATAACAACTTATAATATATACACAGTATATTTGTATTCATCTCATTTGACCTATTTTACATTGCCCTATCATTCAGTCTTAAAAAAAAGACTGTTAATAATCCATGTTTTATTACAATTGTCTTGCTCAAGCAAGAGATTGTTCATACCACACTCATCAAAAATAGTTTTGATCTTAGTAATGCAGGCTGCTTTGTAATTACCAGAATCGAACTGGTGTTTAAGAAATTTAAATAATATAAAGAATAGTTTGGTTTCTTATAATATATAATACCATGATGCGAGCATCTTTCTGTCAATCAATTTATCTACAGACTTAATCAACGCAAAAAATATTGTATAGTAATTAACCTTGCTGAAAATAATTTGAAACGCTTTAGAAAATACAAATTCCGTTTAACATAGAAGTGTAATTATTCGTTTATTAATACTAATCGAATAAGACACAAAATTATGGGTTTTCCGCTGATGTGGGAATAAGGCTATCAAACAGTAGGTGTAAAGAAATAAAACAAAATTTAACCTCCACTGGGACTCGGAACCTGGACTGTTCGCATAAATGGCCAAAAAAACCGTTGAATTCAGGATCTTATTATTCATCTTTATCATCATTGTCATATTGTAGTTGAATGTAATCATAATAAAAAAAAAATGTACACATTTTTAACATACATCTTCATGGTATCTTTGATGTTTCTTTGTTAAAACGATTTATTTTTCAAAGATACTTTGAAATTAAATCATATCAGCCTATTTAAGACTTGATGAGCTTGTTACCTTGAATTAATTGAAGGCATTTTGGTTTTTACTCTTCAGGCAAATTTAGTTTCTCATTTTGAAAAACGGTAAGATGTAGGCTTACCTTGTCCCAAACATGCTCCATTGGTGATCTTGATATCATCTAAAGCGATGCCACTTGTGTAATTACTTCCTCTAATTCCTTCAAACATTATATGACATATACCGAATACTGCGACTGAGATTTTTCCAAGTATCCAAATGTTTCCTTGGTTGTTTGTTTTGGTCCACACGGGTGTACCAACAATACGTGTAGAATCGACTACGTAAACATTTAATGTGTTCACTGTGTCCCCGTACATGTGGTAGAACCACTCGATACACACAAGGTTTGTTGCAGGATAGAGCGGTGTCCAAATACGAGCGGTACCATTCGTATTCCGACTTGTAGCTTCGATGTACAAGTAGTGTCCTTTAAGCAAATGAAAATGTGATGCGCAATTCTTGTGATCAATATTAATTGAAATAATTTTTCTACAGAATAATAATTTCAACCAGACTGAAAATGAGATTTTAAACATCAGGTAGTTGATATGTGGAGGTAATTTTATGTACTTTTTATTTCTGCTTTATCAACTTATTTTACAATAATAATTAATTATATATAAATTATTAATATTATAACTTGTTATTACCTTGTGAAGTTCTGTATGTGTGGTCAAATGAAGGACCCGTATTAGATGAAGGTGTTGATGCAGATTTTCTTGTCCAATTAAAATCATCCATGGTATCTTGTACGAAGTTACAAATACTCGGATCTTCGAAATCACACTGGGCAAAAGCTGGCATACACAAGAAAAAAAGGAAATAATTGAATGTATTTGCATTTTATTAAACTCAAAACACAGCACAACCTTTCCCTAAAAACATCTACTCAATAAGCTAGGAGACTTAATATGTACAGCATATTGTGTATATTCTTCAATGATGAAAGATATTGCCAACTATAGGACAGTGATATTATTAGTTATTTGCTGACATTTTCGGCACCATGAATCTGACTAGTTAGCATAGATGAAATAATAGCTGATGGCATTAAAACAAATCTACTGCTTAATACATTTCTGATTTCATCAAACTGCGGTCCAAGACAAGCACACAGAAACTCAGACACACTTAAAACCCCACTCCCCCTTTCCCCATCATTCCACTTGAAACCCTACGGCGGTAGGTCATTTTCAGTTGCTGCTGCTCCACTTTAGAATAGTCTTCCAGTAGCTATTCGAGAGCACGTAGCTCTTTCTGTACTCCAAGCCAAGAGTAATAACCAACCTATTTGTTCTGGTTAGATTTTCTTTACTTTTCTTTGTTCATACAGCGCATATGAGATCATGTACAATGCCCTACTCTAAGTGCACAACCATTTACCATTAATGTAAATATAGGCCTGGGGTCTACAGAAGAGTCTAGGCCCTGTTGTCTCCTGGCTATATTGCCATAATAATAATAATAATAATAATAATAATAATAATAATAATAATAATAATAATAATAATAACTAGATTTAGTATGTCTGTTTGTATAACAGAACATAGGGCTTTTCCCCATTGCTTTAATGAGAAATGAAGTTAAACAAAAAGTAAAGTCGTTAAAAAGTTAAAAAAAAACACAGATCAAAATACATATAGTACTAAAAATATTACGAATTTAAAAAAAACCAATGAAAATCAAATTCACAACTACAGCGAAGTTAGTGAGAATCGAACTATCGAACTATTGCTGCGATGGTAATACCAAGGAAGGCCCACTTGGAGACTGATAACTATGGCGAGCCGAGTTGTCATTTATTCGTAAATACTAAGATATCCTTATTAGTAGAGATATCTCTATTTAATACTAAGATATCTCTATTTAAAATTAAGATATCTCTATTTAAAACTAAGATATCTCTATTAATAGATATACAGTATCTCTATTAATAGAGATATCTTACTTTTAAATAGATACCTTTATTTTAATTAGATATATCTCTATTTTAAATAGAGATATCTTAGTTTATTTAAAATAGATATCTCTATTTATAGCGATATCTATTAATAAAGAAATCTTAGTTTTAAATATAGATATCTTAGTTTAAAATATAAATATCTTAATTTTAAATAGAGATATTTCTGTTAATAGAGATATCTCTAATAATAGAGATATCGATTTAAAACTAAGATATCTCTATTTAAAACTAAGATATCTCTATTTAAAACTAAGATATCTCTATTCATGATTAAATGACATATTGGCTCACCATACATAACCATTGCGGGCTATATGAGCCGACCTCAGTAAAAAACAATACATTTTCCGTTCATAGCGATTCCATGACTGAAAGCAAAAAATTTTCATGCATATCACTGTAGTTTTGAGTTTAGCCTAGCTGTAACTGGTTTAAGTGCTTTAGAAAATGCAATTACATTTTAAATAATGTAATCAACTGTCCAAAATGTCTTTAAATGGTCCTCATACTGATAATCGTCACCAAAAATTGATCATTTCTACATTTGACCATGAAAAACTATTCTGCAGAATTTCATTTTTATATAACTGGGACGTAAGCAATTTAATTGATCCTCAAATTTACACCCTAACCTGGATCGTCCCCAACACATAATATCTTCCTTGTAACTTGGTTAAACTTTCCCGAACGTTTCATTCAGATCAGTTGATTCGTTTTGAAAATATGTGATCTGGGACGTTTTCCTTTGAATGGTTCTCAGATCCACACCCTACTCCGGATTGTCACAAAAATTTAATAATTTCTTTACTAGACCTTGACAAACTGTTGTACAATGTTTAAATTATACCCATTGATTTTTTTTAAAGAAATGTTTAGGTCTGGGACCTCAAAAATTGAAATGACCCTAAATTTAACACACTAACTCGATCACATTCAATACATAACAATTTCTTCCTTGTAATTTGGTTAAACTTCCTGAAAGTTTTATTCAGATCAATTGACTGGTTTTTGAAATATCTGGTGCAGACTGTTTGCCCTTAAATCACTTTAATTGGTCTCCACACGCACACCCTACCCTAGATTGACACTAAATATTAGAAGGAACATTCTTGATATATGGCTATGCTTCTACAAAGTATGGAAAAGTTCTAAGCATGGGAAGTTACCAAAGTGACGGCCAGAAAAATAACAGTGCAAACACATAGGAAAAAATATACAAGAAAAAAAACAAAAAAACAATGGCTTTTCTACCTACTACTGCTGGGAAAAGGCTTTAAAAAATGAGAACAAATACAATGGCTTTTCCCAGCAGCAGCTGAGAAAAGTCAATAATAATGTCCTATGATTTTATTATTTACTGCCTTTCTGTGATTAACATTTTACCTAAGCCTGTATATTGTATCTTTTATTTCATATAATATATATTTATATATATTTTTTAATGTTATGTGTTGAAAAATGCGAGTTGTAAGTTGAAAAATGCGAATTGCGAGTTGAAAATTGTGAGTTGCAATTTTGCAAATGCAACTTCTGTGTTGGAAAATGCGAGTTGTGAGTTGGAAAATGCAAGTTGCGAGTTGGAAAATGTGAGTTTGTGCGAGTTAAAGCTTTAGTCTTCAGGCCATATTATGATTTCTTCATTTGTGGGATAATAATATTTAGGCTTACCTTGTGTCAAACATGCTCCATTGGTGATCGTGACATCATCTAAACCGATGCCACTTATGTAATCACTTCTTCTAATTCCTTCAAACATAATCTTATAGATACCATATACAGTAACTGACACTTGTCCAGGTATCCAAACGTTTCTTTGGTTATTTGTTTTAGTCCACACGGGTGTACCAACAGTACTTGTAGAATCGACTACGTACACATTTAATGTGTTCACTGTGTCCCCGTACATGTGGTAGAACCACTCGATGCACAGGCCGTCCGTTGCAGGATATAACGGTGTCCAAAGACGAGCCCTGTCATTGGTACTCCGACTTGTAGCTTTGATGTACATGTAGTATCCTTTTAGTAGATTCAATTATGTTTAATAGATATTCAACCAGACTGACAATAAGACTTAGGCTAATTCATCAGGTAGTTGGTTCGTGGAGACGTTTATTTTTTAAAGTTGTGGTTATTATTTTTTTTTTAAATTTAACGTGTTTAATTCTTCACATTTTATGCTTCATTTTCATAATTTATTTATTAACTTTTTTCATTTTTTATACCATATTTTACATATTTTTGTTTAATATACAGTATATGTATATATATATATATATATATATATATTTTTTTTTATACTTATTTTTTTATTTTTTATACT